TCAGACGTTGTTCCACATGAATTAAAGGGCCCAAATCATGCCAGGAAAACATGCCCCAAACCATAACACTGCCCCCACCAGCTTGAAGGGTTGTACTCATGCATGTGGGGTGCATGCTTTCATGCTGTTTCTGCCAAATTTTCACTCTGCCATCTGCATGATGCAACTGGAAATGTGACTCATCGGATCACATGACTTTTTTTCAATGCTCGACTGTTCAATCATTGTGTTCCTGTGCGAACTGGAGACATTATATCTTGGTAACTGCAGACAGCAAAGGTGTTCAAACAGGCCTTCGGCTTCCATATCCCATATGATGCAGTGTACGGCTAATTTGCCTACAAATGTCAGGTGGTCATAATAATCTGGCCACTCAGTGTATAATGTAATTATTGATTGCTTGACTTGGGGTGGTAAATATACAACACAATTTTTAGATAATGTATTGTTGAATTATATACCTCAAACCTATATAATTTTATTAACCAATGTCACCCCAATAAACTCAATAAAAAATTAAAGTAATTGTTGATAGATATGTACTTATTGCTTTTTTATTATTCATACTTTTCATTTCCTTCTTAAAGAGGACCCTTTAACATTTCTTGTAATATTGGTTTGACGGTGATGAACTCCCTTAGGTTTTTCTGTCTGAAAAGTTCTTTATTTGTTCTTTAATTCTAAATAATAGCTTTGCTGGGTAGAGTAATCTTGGTTGTAGATCACTTTGAATATTTCATGCCAATCCCTCTGGCCTAAAATGCTTCTGTTGAGAAATCAGCTGACAGTGTTATGGGAGCTGTAGGTAACTAACTACTTTTCTCTTGCTGCTTTTAAGATTCTTTCTTTCTTAACCTTTGGCATTTTAATTATGATGTGGTTTGGTGTAGGCCTCTTTAACTTCATCCTTTTGGGACTCTGTGCTTCCTGGACTTGTATGTCTACTTCCTTCACCAGGTTATCCTATCCCCATTTTACATACGAGGAAATCTAAGCACATACATGCACACTCACAAGTGCACACTCACATCACTAGTGAGACTAGAAAAAAGCCCATCAGTTCCTCAAATAGCTAAACACAGAGCTACCATATGATCCAGAAATTTCACTCCTAGGTAAATACCCATCAGAAATGAAAACATACTCTACCCCCAAAATTGTACACAAATGGTCACAGCAGTATTACTCATAATAGCTAAAAATTAGAAACAACTTAAATAGCCATCAACAGGGATGTGAATAAATAAAATGTGGTATATACTCCGTACAACAGAATATGATTTGACCATAAAAAGAAATGAAGTAGTGGTTCATAGTACCACATAGGTGAACCTTGAAACCATTATGCTAAGTGAATGAAGCCTATCACAAAAGACCACAGATGATAAGACTGCATTCATATGAAATGTCCAGAATAGGCAAATCTATAGACAGAAAGTAGGTTAGTGGTTGTGTGGGCCAGAGAATATGGAGAAAGTGGAAGGTGATTGCTAAATGGTATGGAGTTTCTTATGAAGTGATGAAAATTTTTGGGAATTAGATAGTGGTGATGGCTGCACATCTTTGGGAATATACTTAAAAACACTTAATTTTACATGTTAAATTGTTAGATTATTAAATTTATTATATTATCTTAATTATTATAAGTGTATTAAAGTTATTAAATTGGTAAATTAGTTAAAAATGTTCAGCAAGGAGACAGGCAGATACTAAAGCAGAATACTTCCTATTGGTTGCTTTGAAATGATAGCAGAATTCTCTGAAACATCTTATTTCATAGATAAATATTATCAATGCCAAATTATTTGTGCAAGAAATTTTGACACAAAGGTAAGCCAGAAATCAATTCTTTTTAGAATTGGAAGAATGAAAGTACATGTAAGAACAGGATGCGCAGCTAACACTTACCTCTTCCACAAAAGACCAGTACTTGCAGTTACTGCAGATGCTCCCAGAAAAGCCACTACCATTAGTCGACGCCTGACCTGGGTGGGCTGTGATCCTCCATGGTACCATCGAGAGCCCAGGGCCAGTTCTGCCAATGCATAAAGTGACTTAAGACGAAACATCCTGTGAACAAAAAGTAGAAATGTTACTTCTAACTAGTGGTGGTGATGGTGATGATGATTACATCAATTCCACAAACAAATATAAGTATTTAGTGGTAGACACCATTCTAAACACTTTGCAATACCACACATTATCTCATTTAATCCTCAGAACAATTGTATAGAAAAGTACAATTTATAAACCTGATATATCAGTCAAGATACAATTAGAAGACAAGAAACAGAAAATTTAATATAAAGCATTATTAATTACAACAGGAGACTAAGTAGTAAAGGGTAAAGAGACAGCAGATAAAGAGGGCAGCCACTACTTCAAGGGCCAATGCAGACCAACAAGAAAATCTATATGTATAAAAGCCTAAGTGACCGTTCGACTGTTCGACCTTTCAACTGGTAGCTATGATGTGCACTGACCACCAGGGGGCAGACGTTCAATGCACAGTAGTAGATCCAGAATCTGAACCAAGAGTGGACTGACTCCAGAACATGGAACAGACTGATGAATCTCAGAGAAAAGAGGGGAGGTGGAGGGCGGGAAGAGATTAACCAAAAATCTTATATGCATATTAGAGGCCTGGGGCACGGATTCGTGCACCGGTGGGGTCCCTCAGCCTGGCCTGCAGGGACTGAGCAGAAACAAGCAGTCCAACATCCCCTGAGGGGTCCTGGGTTGCGAGAGGGTGCAGGCCAGGCCAAGGGACCCCACCGGTGCACGAATCCATGCACCGGGACTTTAGTAAATATATAAAAAGGCTACTCCTAACAGGGTGGAGTTCCAGACCTGTGGTGAGGACACAGCCACTGATGTCCACGAAATTTACTAAAGTGCCACATCAACAGAACTTACAGTAAAGCCATCTACTAGGAAAACTCGGATCAGTAGAACCTGGGAAAGTGTCCATGGGGAGGCGATGTCATCGTATGAAATTCACTTGGAAACGGCATGTAGAAGTGTTGCCACTAAAAGTCCCTAGGAACTGAGTGCCACTGGGTGTCCCACATGCTGCTGGCCACTGCAGCATACAAGGAGCACACCAGAATCAGAGAATAGCACCCCTTCCTTCTCCAGTCTCCCTCTAGTTCCTCTACTGACAGAGCTTAACAAAAGCTGGAAAGGAAGAAATGTCCAATATCACAAATAAGACAATGGAAGATGGGTTTAGAGCTGAAAACCAACAGTTTGGTAAGTGGCACATCCATTTTACAGATGTGAATATTGAGATACAGTGACTTGCTGAAGACTAGTCACTACAGCTAGAATTGGTAGATCCAGAATCTGAACCAAGAGTGGACTGACTCCAGAGCCCGGATTTTAACTAGGACACTTTGCTGCCCCCACCTGTAATGTTAATATTACTTCTGTTAAAGTAATTTAAGTTTTAATTACAGTAAATCTTTTCCCACTCCTAGAGCCTTGGAAGCCCTCCTCCCCACTAGGTTCTTTTGTTTCATACTTATAACTTCACCTGTTCCTTTAACTTTTTGTTTTAATTCAGAAATATCTATATTGGGTCATACTGTTCAATAAACATTCACTCTTCCATCCCGTAGGTAAATAATACTTCCCCACTCTTTTCGTTTTGGGTGTGTATCTTGCAAAATGCCTTGCTATGACCATTGAAATGTGGCCCAGTGTCATGAAGTTCTTTTAAGAGCTATTTCTGTTAGCCTTCTTGTGCCCTGCACTCTAACCAAGAGATTATGCCCCAGGAAGACATTAATCCTTCAACCTTGGTTCCATAATGAACAGATCTCAGCAGAGAGGCAGGCAGCATCAGGACAAGCTGAGCTGGTGCCAACCTACAAAATGCTGGTGAGAAATAAATGTTATTGTAAGCCCTGAAAATTTGGGGGTTGTCTGCTACCACAGCAAAAGCTGACGAATTCAGCATCTAAGAGAAGTACTGGGAAGTTCTAACACAAAAAAATTAAGTTCATACTATTCAGCCCTATGTGATACCTAAAAGGCCCCCAAATTTTTATATTTTAATTGGACAAGATTCACATTAAACATTTTTGAAATGGTACATTTCCATCCTGAATACATATAAACATACTAGAGGCCTGGTGCATGAAAATTCATGCACTGGAGGGGGGTCCCTCAGCCCGGCCTGCCCCTCTCACAGTTGGGGAGCCCTCAGGGGCAGGAGGCGACCCGGCGATCAGGGGAAGGTGACGCCCCCATCACACCTCTGCTGCTGCCACTGCCGGCAGCTCAAGCCTCGGCCGGCCCTGGTTACCTGAGCCTCGGGCGGCCCTGGCTGCTGGGCAACTGACATCCAAGGCTTGCCTGCACCATTGGGCGGGCCCTGGGTGGCTGGGGGACTGAGGGTGGGTCCAGCCGCACTGTGTGCCTGCCGCCCCCCCGGCTGGGCTGAAAGGACTGTGGGACTTCGGCGGCAGGCGCAAGGAGTGGCCGGACCCGTCCACTGCATGCCTGCCACCTCCCAGCTGGGCTGAAAGGACTGTGGGACTCCGGTGGGGCTGAGGAGACTGGGTGCCGCCATCTTGTGGCTATGGGCGCCGCCATCTTTGTGATGGTGTGATGGTCAATTTGCATATTCCCTCTTTATTAGATAGGCTTGGATATAGATATTAGAGAATTAAAAAACAAAGAAAGACCAGCATAAGACTGGGTCAGTCAGCAAAGGCTTTTGTTTAGTATTGAGCCTCAAAATGGTATAGAATTTTGATCAAGTTGATAGAAATGTCAGGGGCATCCCAAAAGACTTAGGATCATCTCTGGTATCTCAGTCCAGAGAATTAATAGAAGGATATTGAGGCCAGGATAAAGTCCCTAATTCTCTTATTCCACCAGGCAGACTGAACGAGAAAGGGGATTTTTTTTTTCTGGTTACATGACTTTCAAATCAAAGTATCCATGTTCCTCCCATTTGATTTTCTCAAAGCATAATTCACTGCTTCCTAATTTAAATTATCTTGCACTTAGTAGGGATCTTTATGGTAGTTAACATATTTGTTTAAGTTTTCCTCCCCTACTTGGCTCTGAGCTTCCTTTAAGGTTAAAAATATGGCTTTTCCTCTTTCTAAACCATAGTCTAGCACAAGGCCTGTTACATTACATTATACATGTCATTTCTTCAATAGTTCTAATCTCATTCCCCAAAGTACACATTAAAAGCTATTTCTATTCACCTTCTCTAGTGCCATTTTTATAGATGCCAAGTAAATAGAGAGAAAAACCCCACTGAGAACAGGTTCTATTATAATTTAATCCCTAACTTTGTAGTGAAGAAATAGTGTAAGTAGTTCAATGTGTTAATCTTTTATGAGAAACCACTTAAACAGATTTATGATAAGCTTTCCAACTGAATCTAGAAAATTGAATGGGTGAATTGGCAGCAGTTATGCAATAATGAAGATTAACATGCAAATTTATGACGTAGATTAAATTAAATCAAAAGCAGTGTATTTTTCTTCCCTAACAGCACACACACACACACACACACACACACACACACACACACACAGAGAGAAATGCCTCTAAAAAATAGCTTTGATGTGAGCTGAAAATGATGAAGAGGTATTTCTAACCAAGAAATGTCAAGGAGGCAAGTGAAAGATAGTTTTGTTACTAAAGCAGAGCATTATCTATAATAAGTTTTTTGAAACCTGCAATAGTATATTACTGCCCTGTTTCTGTATCTACTATTTTAGGACTATTAAATTTGATGTATTGCTTTTGGTAAATTTCAAAGGGTCACAGAAATAGGAAATCATTTAATTCAACATCCTTATTTTACAGATGAAGGAACTGAGATCCAGATAAGTTATGTGGTTTACTCATAGCTAATTAATTCAAAAACGTACAATCGATCTTAGAATTCCTGATTTCCAAATAAATAACCTAAAGGGGAAAAATTTTAATAACCTTCTCAGCAAAATAAATGTAATAGGCACACTTCAAAAGGAGATGAAATGCCCAATTACAGAAAGATAAAGAATGGTATAATAATATAATCCAATGTGAGATAAATATGAAAAATGATATTCATAAAATATTATTAAAATATTATTTCACAAACAGAAAGTTGGCACAAAGATATAAAAAAGTTGGAAAAATAAGTAAGAATGGCTCTAAAAACTATGAAAAGATACTTAATCTCACTCATAATAAGATAGTACAAATTAAAACTATACTGAGATACTGCCTTCCACTCATCAAGCTGGCAAAAATCCTAAAGTTTGAAAACATACTTGTTGGTAATGCTGTAGAAATGCCACTGCTGAGGAATGTGTAAATTGGTATACTCTATGGGGGATAAGTTGGCAACATCCACCAAAATCACCCATACAAACTGCATACATTGACCCAGAAATTCCACTTCTGATAAAATAGCCTGCTGATATATCTGCACACCTGTGAAATTATACACATGCCACAGTTATTCATTGCATCATGGTTTGTAACAGCAAAAAACTAAAAAAAACACCCAACTCCAATGTTCATCAAGAGAGGACTGGTTAAATGATAAATATATACAAGGCAATACCATGTATCAATAGCATGTATAGATTTGAAGAGTTTCAAGAGATACTATTATCTAAATGTAGCAAGGTGTGGAATAGCATGTATATATTTGAAGAGTTTCAAGAGATACTATTATCTAAATGTAGCAAGGTGTGGAATAGCATATATAGTGTGCTACCTTATGTAAAAAGGAGAAATAAGAATGCATATTTGTATTTTCTTATTAAGTAACTGTAGGAGAACACAAAAATGTACTAGCAATGGTGCTGGTTGGGATGGGAGATGATAAGAGACAGAAATATTTACAATATACTATTTGAGTTTTAAAACTATCCATGCAAACAAATATACAGTAGCTGTAATAATAAAGGCATAATATGCTAATTAGACCAGACGTCCTTCCGGACGACCTTTCAGATGAAAGCCGGCACTGCAAGGGAAGCCTGGGTCCCAGGTGCCAGAGGGAAGCTGGTGCTGGCAGCCGGGGGAAGGAAGGCCTACTCTTGCAT